CTGCCGCGGGGGCGGCGCCCCCGTGGCCGCCCATGAACGCGGTTCCTCCCCCTCCACCTCCTCCGCCTCCTCCTCTTCCTCCTCCTCCTCCTTCTCTTCCTCTTCCTTCTCCGCGTCCTCCGCCTCCGTTCCTCCTGCTCCTCCTCCTCGTCCTCCCCCACTCCTAACAACAACTCCCCCTCATCACACCCCAAGGCTGGTCCAAAGGGCGGGACCAGTGTTACGCCCGAGACTTCCCCACCACGAATGATCCTGAAGCTTGTGACTTACAACCGATTCGCGGATGGATGGTGGGAGGTTTTCATCATGCGACTCTCGTTTTAGCACCGCGCGTATTCGGGAGAAACTTTGCAGCGGCTTCGCGAATGGAGGCCGGGCCGTTTTCAAAATGTGGCTCTCGCATTAGCGCTGCGCACATTCGGCCTAAACGGTTGCAGCAACTTCGCGGATGGAAAGCTGCCCTTTTTCAAAATGTGGCTCTCGCGCTGGCGCCGTGCAAATTCGTTTTAAGAGTTTACAATACGTTCAAAGCCTTGTCATCGCTCACATACCAAACATCGTGTTTTGGCACGGTGTCGGATTGTGAGGGCGCAACAGTTACGTTGATTCGTGGTGTTGAAATTCCACAAGTGGTGTGCTCTGGCACGGTTCAGGACCGTGGCGACGCAACAGTAACGGCGATTCGCGGCGTTGAAGTCCAAGGCATGGTGTTCTGGCACAATTCCAGATTTTCGAACGGTTGTCCCCCAACGGGACACTTCCCTCAGTGAAAAAGAATCCTCGCAAGGGCCCATCAACAGAAAATTTGGATGGCTGGTGTACTGCAATGTCGGTGATGGGCCTTGGGTTTACACTATAGTCCCCCTCCTCCGTCACCCCCTTCCCTCCTCTCCCCCTGCTCCTATGCCCTTTCATCCTCTCCCTCCTCCTGCTCCTTGTCCGCCTCCTCGTCCTCATCATCAATGCCACCAGCATCACCGCCACAACCGTCACACTCCTCCTCCCCATCCTCGTTAACATCTTCATAACACTCCACCTCATCCCCCGCTCGTCACCATCACCTTCACCACCAGCACCACCATCACCATAATCACCACCAACACCATCATTACCTGTTTTTTCCAAAGCATCACCATCACCATGCTCATCATCACGATCGTCACCATCACCACCAACATCAACAACACCGTCGTCATCGTCAAAATCATTGCAGAGCCCCCGCGCATTGGACATACGGGAGCACTTGCTGTGAGTGTGGGTACACATGGCAGCAGGGGTCGCAGTCGCGGGCATCGCGCGGCTCGCGGTGGGGAGGAACATGATGCCTTGATGACGAGGGTAAACATGAGCTCAACCAGCTGCGCAGGTGAGTCAAGAAGCTCGAAGGCAACAGCGCGGAGACAAGGACGAGGACGACGAGTTGATCTCCGAAGGGCGGCCCCGAGCATGAGCAGCCCAGGCAGCTCGGCAAGCTGCGGTCGGAGATCAAGAAGCTGAAAGGAGCCACTGGAGTCGAGGGCACTCGAGGCCGAGTAAACACAGGCCAAAATTCTGCAGGCCCTGATCGCCCAAGGCCGTCCTCTTTCAGCTCGGGTCGGCGAACGTGATCGTCGCCAACATACGCGGCGGGCGACCACAGAAGCAGTCGCGAAGCAGCTCGAGGACTCGACAACACAGGCCGGGAAGCTGGAGCGCAAGCAGATGGAGGCACAGCCCAAGCACGACGGCCCCCAGGTCGCAGGAAGGAGTTGCTCGACGATCTACTGGCGGCCCGCGCCCAGGAGGGGGCCCGACCCGATGGCGGCGCTCCTGACAGCGCAGAATAGGGGGGCCGCGGCACCGGCAACCCCGCCAGCATGCAGCGCAGCAGCAGGCGCTCAAGCTGATGCACATGCCGCAGCAGCAGCGCCAGCAGCGCTGCCTCAAGAGCGGGCTAGGGAATTCCTACAGCCATTCACCAGGCCCCATGACTGCTTGCGTCTGGCTGTCGTGAGCAGTGGGCGCAGCAGATTGCGCCCGCGCGGGCGGTGGCGGCAGAATTCCCCACGCGCCGTGGAGGAAGAGACGGCATCGAGACCGCAGAGGTCGCGTTCGACGAGGGCGCGCTCGAGGCGCTTATCGACTCCACCGCGGACGGAGCGGGCACCGAGGGCGCCCCAAGGGCAGACGAGGAGAAGGACCGCAGCCGCGGCGCAGCCGCGGCTGGGCAGCCCGCGGCGCTGGCTGATCCTGCCGCCCGTCGCAAGGATCAGCAGGGGCGGCCACTCGAAGGTCTCAGAACCATGGCGACGGCCAAGCGAAAGGGAAAACGTTCCTAACACCTTCGCCCTGGTCAACTTTAACCACTGCGGCGGGGGCCCTGCTGCGGCGATCTCGGCAGCACCGCAGGGGGGCAAAGCCGGCGCGTTCGAGGCGCGCCGGGGCGACGTGCACGCGTTGCAGGAGCACCATCTGGGACCGCAGAGCGCGCTGGCGCAGGAGCAGCGGCGCCGCCAGGTCGGCCTGCGCGCCGCCCTCGCCCCGGGCGCCATGGCCTCAGATGCGCGCAGACCAGCGCCGTGCAGCCAGCGGTGGCACAGGCGCCGCTGTCCAAAGTTGGAGAGGCATGGGAGGCCCAAGGCTCGACGAGGCGAAGTCGACGTGTCGCGCCTCAGGGAAACGCGCCACCCTGGCGCGCGCCGGCGGCCTCGTCCCTGGCGGCATCGCCATCGGCTCCTACCTTGACAGCGACGCGACGGGGCCCGCCCATATGAACTCTCTGTTGGCCGTCGGCAAACTGCTGCGCTAAGCGGGCGGACCGTGGATTCCGACGGGCGATTGGAGCGAGGGCCCCAACGCCTGCTTGGACGCCGCCGGGCGCTGGCTCGAGGACGCACGCGGCACGGTCATCGACGCGGGCGAACGCGCGCGCCAGTTCTCGGCGGACAACGAGGACTCGGAGCTGGACTGGTTCCTGATCGACCGCAGCATCGCCGAGATAATCGTCAGCTGCGAGGTAATCGGCAAGGTCAAGCAGGGCATGCCAGACCCCTGCAGGCTACATGCGGGCGCGAAGCTGGTCGCGGCAGGCGGCGGAGCCGACCCTGAGCCCTCTTCGACTTAGAGGCCGCGCACCCTTCCCAAGGGGCCTCCGCTCGGGCCACTGGTCGAGGCATCCTGGGACTACCTGCGCTGACATGGCCAACGGCATGTGCAACGCAACTGCCATGGGCGAGCTGGAGCCACATGTCGCCCAGATCTGCAGCTGGATGGAGACCGAGCTTCGCGGGTCTACCAGATGACCAGATGCCGCCCGACCAGGAGCGGCGCTTCCGCGGGGGTGGGGGGGGGAAGCACCCCTGCGCGCGCGGCTCGCGGCCGCGAGGCCTGGGCCCACCATAGGGCTGGAGGCGAGCCCAAAGAGGGGGCGCCTCGCGGCGGTCAGCAAGCTCCTCGCGCAAATGCGGTCGCACACTACGGGCCCTTCGAGAACTCCTGCATGGGCGAGGGCCCCGCGCGCGGGGAGAACGACCGCGTGGAGAGGCGCGCGAGTGCACGCCCCAAGAGAGCAGCGAGGCGTTGGGCGAGGAGTTGGATCCGCAACCCGTCACACCCGCAAGGCGAGGATAACCGCCAGGACTGACTCGACTTGCGCGCGGCCCCCCGCCTTCGCGTCGACGAGGGCCGCGCCCAACTGTGACCTTCGCCATGGCGTGGCGAACGAGGTCTGCGAGGCAGCGCGGAAGCGTGGCGCGACGGGCCGACCAGACATCCCCCGTTTCTAAAAGGAGGTGCGCAGCCAGGACCACGACGCCCGGCCCGGGAAGCGGAAGTGCACCGCGCGGGGGGCACCCCCCTGGGGAGCCGCAAATTGCGCAGTCAGGCGCAGACACGGCCCCCACCCTTCCCCCCCCCCCCCCCCCCGACAATGAAGGAGCAGAAGGCGGCCACCCGAGCCATTCTGCGGCCTGGCACGCTCTCTCCCAGCTTGTCGGCGGCAGCCGCTTTGACGGCGAGGAGGCGGACTGAGGCATTGCGGATAAGCGCGCAACTGGGGGCGGCGGTGGGCAGCGGGCCCCGCCCCCGGAAGAGGGCGCGCGCCGCCGCGCGGGGCTCGCGGGCGCGACGCGGCGCCGGGCGCGCGGATGGCCGCCAGAGCTGAGCCCGCGCGACGAGCGGCGCGACTTGCAGGGCTGGGCCGACGCGCGCGCGCCATTCACCTTCCGCCGCCTGGGAGGGGGCGCCCTCCTTGAGCGCCGCAGCCCGACTGGGCTCGCCCCCCGGGCCTGCCGCGCCGGCAGGGCGCGCCAGGCGCGCGGAGAGGCGCGGCGCACGTCGAGTGGCGCGCGCCAGGCACCTCTCCTCTGCGCAACGCCAGGAGGGCACCAACTTGGACGCGCGGAACCAAATCGCAGAGGAGCACTGCGCGCGCGAGCGAGGGCTCCGAAGGCGACGGGGGCGAGGAGCGCGCGCATGCTGGCGAAGAAAGGCCAGCAGCTCCGCGCGGCGCGCGCGAGCCTCCGACGCACCCAGCCCAACCCACCCTTCAGCTCGGCCAGCCCTGTGGGGCGCGGGCGATGCTTGCAGCGGACTGCCAACTCCCGATGCCGCTATACAGCTGGGCAAGCGGGGCCGCTGAAGCCGCGGCGCCCGACGCCGCGGCGTCCGCGGCGGAGCGCGGCAGGGGCGCCAACGAATGGATCGGCAAGTCGCGATAGGAAGGCGGAGGAGACGCGCGCGCGCGCGGAAACGGGCCCGAGAGGACGGTCGCCCGATGACAGCGCGGGCGGGCCCTCTGCCAGCGGGCAGCACAGAGCCGCGGCGATCGCCAACGCCTGGCCCAAGGAGGCGTGGACGGCGAGGACCGAGGGCGCGGGATTTAGAGCGGGCCCTCGCACAAGCGCGCCAGCGCGGCGTTGCCGCGCCCGTCCGAAGACGACCGCCCAGGCGCTGCGCGCACCTTCAACATGCACGAGGGCGCAGGCAGCGGCCGCGCCAATCCCATGTTTCTGGCGCCCCTG